AATGTTAGAACAGCCCCTGGGCCACTGGGTCCATAGGAAGGAGGAATAGTCAAATGTGTAAGCTCAGAGACCCAAGTTTACAGTCAGTTCAGCTTCTATGAATGGTATGGGTTCTTTTTTTCATCTTCATTTTTTTTGTACATTTTCTAAGACAGATCTTGATTTATCTTTTTTTAGACTAACTGCCGTTACTTAAGTGATGCTCTGTGTATCATCATCATGGTATGATAGACTTACTGCTGAGGTTTTGTCTTTTACTGTCTACTCTAATGCTAAGTATGAGCCCCTAAGTCCTGGAGTCTGCACTAGCCCCTGTGACCCTGCCCCCAAGTTTATTATGATCGGTAAGTAAAGATGCCAACAGCTAATAGCTGGGAAGAAGAGACATAGGTGGGGTTGAGGTTTTAGGGGCTTGGAGTCTGAGAAGAGGAAGAAGAGGAATGTGTAGGAGAGAAGAGAAAAGCCACTAAGGGTTAGCTGAGCCAAAAAAAAGTGGGTCACATGGGCTGGCCCACTAGAATTAAGAGCAGCCCAAATGGAACATAGTAAATAGTAAGTAATGACTCAGGGTTATCGATACGAAAGTAGATTCTGACAGCATGGAAGGTAGGCAGCTAACTGTCCAGCTATTGTGCTGTTTAAAGTTTATTAAAGATATAAAGACTATGCATGTTTGGTAACTCAATTACCAAAGGCAGGGTAGAAACCTCAGATGAATTTTAAGTATTTATTTTACAATCTCCAACACAGGCTTTTTAGAACACAGATAGTTTTGATGTAACTTCTGTGGTTATATTTGTTTACAGCTTACTGTTGGATACCTGGATAGTGTGAGTGCTTCATCTTGACCCAAGAAGGAAGTCCACTCTTATTTAAGCATTCAGTGAAATGTGGTATAAACAAGTGGGGACAGCTTCCTATGTCATGAGCTGTTACTACACCTCAGCGCATTCACTTTTGAGTTGACAAGTTACAATTATACATTTATGGTGCCCCACCATATTAACCACAGCCAGCAAGCTGTACAATCCATCACTAGAGCTTATCTTCCCACATATAAGACTCTATTCTTTAACATCTTCCTCATTCAAGCCAGGCTAGCCTCCAATGACAATCCTCTAAGAGCCTTCCACTCCACATATAAGAAACAAGGAGGTATTTGTCTCTCTCTGCCTAGCTTATTTCACTTTATATGGTGTCCAGTGGAGGAATCTATTTTCTCACAGATGACACAATTCCCTCCTTTGCTTTTATAATCATATTCAATGAAGCCAGTTGGTGAACTTTATTGCTATTTTAAGCAATGGTCACAGCCACCCCATCTCTCAGAAGCCACCACTGAGAACAGTCAGCAGCCATCAACACCAAGGCAAGACCCCTCACTAGCAAATCCCTTCTTCTGAAAAGCTCAATTGTATTTCATGTTGTACCTATGCAATGTTTTCAAATTCTGTTTATATATTGATGGACATTTAGCCTGCTTCCTTATCTCAGCTACTGTAGAGGCTGATGAAATAAACATAGACATGTAAGTAAAGTTTTGATATGCTGATTTCAATTCCTTAAAATATAAACCAAGAAATAGAACCACTGAATCATGTTATAATTCAATTTTTAAATTTCTTTGAAGGAGCTTTATACTGCTTCCCACACACATGTATGAATTCATGTTCCCACCAACGTGGCATACAAAAGTTCTTCTTTCTCCACGTTTTTATCAACACTGCTTGTCTTTCAACTTTCTGTTAGCAGCCAATCTAATGACAAATGATATTGAGCCTTTTTATATATCCAATAGATATCTCTATATCTTCTTTTTAAAAATGTTTAGGTTGTTTACTGTACTATATTTGAGCTGTTATAGCTACTTATATAGTCCAGATATTAGTTATTAATCAGAAATACAGCTTGAAAATATTTTTTTCTATTTCATAGACTATCTCTTGGTGTATTACTTCCTTTTTTGTATTAAGGATTTTAATTTGGTATGATCCTATTTTTTCTACTTTTGTTTTTAATTGACTTGTGCATTAGGGTCACATACAGAAAAACCACTGTCCATAGCAAAGTTACAGAATATTACCATGTTCCCTTCTAGTGTTCTAACACCTTTGAGTTCTCTGTTAAGCCTTTGATTTGATTTTGGGTTGATTGCTGCGCATGGTGTGAGTTAAGGGTCTAGTTGCATTGCTTTCTTTGAATGTGGACATCCAGTTCTTATAGCATCATTTCCTGAAGACACCAGGCATGTTTTCCAAGCTGTTCATATTATATCACTGTTGAAGATGATTGACAATTCATTCGTGAGCTTATGACTCATGCTCCTATGCTCTGTTTATTTCTTCTATGTATGTTTCTATGTACTTAGCTATTTGATTGCGTAGATTAGTAGCCAATTTTCAAATCAAATAGATGATAGTTGTCATTTTTTAAAAACTAATTCCCTCCCTCTTCCCGTGTGTGTGTGTGTGTGTGTGTGTGTGTGTGTGTGTGTGTGTGTGTCATGGCATGTGTGTGAAGATCAGAGGACAACTTTGTGAAACTGGTTCAATCCATCCACTATTATTTGGATCCCAGAATCACCCGGCTTGCAGGGCAAGTTCCTTTATATGTAGGACACCTTACTTGTGGAAGGCATTTTCTCAATTAGTGATCAAGGGGGGAGGACTTATTGTGGGTGGGGCCATCCCTGGGCTGGTAGTTTGGGGTTCTATAAGAAAGCAAGCCAGGGGAAGCAAGCCAGTAAGTAACATCTCTCCATGGCCTTTTCATCAGCTCCTGCTTCCTGACCTGCTTGAGTTCCAGTCCTGACTTCCTATGGTGATGAACAGCACTGTGAATGTGTAAACTGAATAAACCCTTTCCTCCCCAACTTGCTTCTTGGTCTTGATGTTTGTACAGGAATAGAAACCCTGACTAAGAGAGTAACATAGGATATATTCTAATCCATTTGTTTCTTATTCAATTTTTTATAGTTTTTTAAATCTATAGAAATATAGTTTTTATTTTTATAATATGATTTTAGTGTAATTATTATTCATAGAGAAATGACATTAATGATATCATCCAGGTATTAAAAATAAGAGGCTCACCACACACCACACGTCACAGGGTTTTTATTCTCTAAATGCAACATTTCATGTTTATTGATTTGTAGATGTTTAACCAGGAATACATCTCATTTGATTATAGTAAATAATATTTTGACATGTTATTGAATATGGTAGAATTTTCACTAAGTATTTTTTGTATTTATATTCATCATGGGTATTGGCTTATAATATTCTTATAGCACACTTGTGTAGCTTTCATACAATGGAACTGATGAGCTTAGAAAATAAGTTTGGAAGCGTTCTCGTGTCCTGATTTTTCTCCAACATAATATTTTTATTGATTCTTTGGGGATTTCACATCATATATCCCTATCGGATTTGCTTCCCAGTCCTTCCCTGTCCTTTCTTCAACCTTCGTTCCAACCTTCCCGGCAAGAAAAAGTCCAATTTGTTTTATCTATATACACTAACTGGGGCGTGGTCAAACTCTCAGTGGCGCCCCCTAAATGAAGCTCAGTCCATTTCCTCCTGCAACCCTGCTGGAAGTCAGCTACTGTGGAGAGATAGCATCCTATCACAGTTTTTAATTGTTTTCTCCAGTGGTTTTCTAGCTAGGCTGTAACTATTTTTGTTTCTGTGGGTTTGGGTGGAGATAGGGGTTGTTACAGAAGTCTGCCATGTCTCTCTTTTTCAACTGTGCATCTGCAGTCATTGATATCATTGTGTAAGTATCTCATTTGCTGTTTAAGGACCACTGGAGTATTGATTAAGGGCTTCTACATTGTTTTTGGCATCAGTATAGACTGTGATCAGGGATCTTGGTTGTAGTAGACCCATGGACCCAGGTAAAGCTCTCTGATGCAGCTGGGATCACGGGTATCAACATGGCTTCCAGCTGTAGCATAAACTGTAGATTTATGCCCAGCATTCACTGGCAATACAGGTCACAGACTTCATCACAGACCCAGCAGAAGTTAGACCAGGGACACAGACATGGCCCTCTGTGGCAATACAGACCTGGACATTACTATGGACTTAGGTGGCAGAGGAGGCCACTCAGATCAGTATGGCTCCTGGTGGCAGCACAGCCCAGGATCATCACCATGGCTTCAGGCTGCAGCAAAGACCACAAATATTGTGTGGCCTTAGTGTTTGGAAGCATTTGAGGACTGGCACTAATTCTTTTAGAGTATTTGGTAGAATTCAGCACTAGAGTCATCATTTTCTAGGTTCATCTTTGTCTTTGATTAGAGATCCTTCTTTTTTTTAAAAAAAAAATTCCTTTTGGACAGGGCTTCATATAGCTCTGGATGACATCAAACACAGTAGTGCCTGAGAGTGACATGGGCTCCTGATTCTCCTGCCATAGCCTATGTAGTGCTGAGACTGCAGCTGGGTGCAGTCATGCCTTGATGGAGATTTTTCATTACCGATTTAACCTCTTTACTCATTACTGGTATGTTTTGATTTCCTGTTTTCTCAGGATTCAAGCTTGGTAGGCTATCTGTCACAAGAAATTTATCCATTTCTAGCAGGTTATCAATGTTTGTGTACAAATTTTCACACATGTCTCTTGTGATCTCCTTTGTAACTCTGCGGTGTCTGTTGTAACTTCTCTTCTTCAGTTTCTGATTCTCGATGAGCTTCTTAGCATATCTAAGGGTGCACTGAGGCGTTTATCTCAGAGCTAGCTCCCCTAGCCAGGCTTCTGTAGCTCTTCCAGCTCTTGTATCATGTCTTCTATCTGACACCCAGTATTTTCTGCCTCCTACTAATTTTATGCCTTTTCTTTCTTTTTTCTTTGAGATTTACTATTGTATTTGGAACCCTCCATTTTGATGCAGACATGTGTTACTATAAATTCCCTCTTTGAACAGCTCTTGATGCCTTGAAGCTTCCATACATTATGGCGTGTTCTTTTTAAACCTATTAACATTTTTTTTCAAGGAGTGTGACAGAGTTGTAGAGACAGGCCCCAGGACAGATGAAAACGACCTGTCTGGATTTCCTCTGTTCTACTGTAGCACTGTCTATCCCCAGACCGGCACCAAGCAGCAGGCCTGGGAAAAATTTAGTGCAGCCTATTAACATTTTTTGTCTCAAGATTTTTCTTAATTTTTTATTTCTTCTATGACATATCTTGCCCTGGATTGTGTTTAATTTTTAGCATATTTATGAGTTTTCTGAACTTACTCCTACTGATACCTACTTTCATGAAACTATGGTTTTTCCAGACTCCTAAATTTGTTATGACTTGTTTGTGACCAACCCTAGAGAATGTTCCTTGTGTACTTTAAGAAGAGTGTGTTTTCTGCTATTGCTGGATGTGTATAAAGTCCATTTGGTAAAGCATAAAGGGTGAGGATGTGGGAGAGTGGGGTGACGTTAGCACAGCACAAGGAATTCTAGGCCAGGCTAATTGAATTTGATTCTCTATGTGATTGAGTTCTATTTAAGGGACTGAAGAAAATGTACATTTCATGAGATTCTTTGCCTTGATTGGGAGACCAGCCAGGAGAAGGTAGGGCAGAGAATACCAAAGAAGGTGTTGCTATAACCCAGATGAGAGAGAGCAGTCATTAAGCAGGGCACACCTTCAGAGATGATTTAGAGGAAAGCGTGGACCCCTGAAACACTTAGCCTATAATGGTGGGCACATCTTAGAAACATGTAATTGGTGAAACTCCATGGGATTTAGTAAGGCATTAAAGTGGATCCTGGTTTCCTATGCATGGAAGAAAATATGTCTGAGATGCTGAGAGTAGGTACTTACGAGAATGAGGGGAAAATTTTGTAAGGGGAGTAGATAATGTTCTGAATATCATTAAACATAATAAATTTCTTTGAATGTTATATACCTTGCTACTTCTAAGCTATACTTAGGCTATGTAGCCCAGTCTGAATTCTATGTCTATAATAATTTTTATACCACTCACTTGTAGCCCAGTTCTGGCCTCCCAGCTCTAGATCTCGATGTACTAGTGATAGGAAACTAATAGGTGGTTCAAATTTCTGAGGTGTTTGCCCCCAGTCAGAGGATTTTTGGAACGACGTTCTTTTGTGTTGTGTTACTCTGTAAGTTCCACTGAAGAGCATTGCCTGTGCAGTCCCAGGTATCCACACCACAGTCAAGGAATGTGTACAGATAGTTTTGAGTTTTTCTATTTAAAAGGAACATGCAAAGAAAAAGAATCTTACCCACGTTCCTTGATTTTACAATGAAAACCACAGCATGCCTTCTTCTTAATCAAGTGCTGCTAATCATGACTGGAACTGAGGACTCAGCCACAGGCATGATACACATAAACTCATACCCTAGATCATCTCACAGGTTAGGAATAAGAGCAAAGGGTGTAAACTTACAGATATAATCCTTTTGTCTTTCCTCATTCCTTTCAGAGATTACTCTGAGTTTTGGGGACAATAGATATTATGACAAAGACCATCTTTGTTGATAGACTTAATGGGAAGAATACTCTGCCTAAGAATTCATTCTAACTAAAGCTTGAAAACACTCTGTAGTTTTGGATTTCCTATTCCTCCTTCATGCTCCTGCATCTAAAGATGATCAAGTAGAGAGGGAGGTACTATCACCTCATTGGACTGTATATTGGAGTAGTAGGCTACTGTAGATGGAGAGGAAGCATGCCCCTCAGTTACTATTCCCAGAACAGTCCTTCAGAGAAATGGCATAGGGGTTCAGATGCCCCAGGTAATTTTGTGATTGCAGTTTGCAGATTATTATCTTTTTAAAATTATCATTTGTGAAAGGGTATGAGTCTTGTGGTTGCTGTCAATATCTATTCAATTACTCTAAAGATACCCAAGGAAGTTCAGAATGTTTTAGTGAGGAGACCACAATCTTCTTTATAAGGTATTGGACAGAATATGTGAAAAGCAATTCCGCTGAAGCATGTAGTCCTCAGCTCAGTGCCTCTATACTGAAAATTTCCATGGGGTTTAACAAATGCACCACCTAGACCACAGCATGTATTGCTGATAGTGTTAGCCATAGACATCCCTATGCATGGGAAAGAATGGATTCTCTCCCAAGTTGTGCTCAACTAAGTAACTTCAGAGAATAGAGAAAAAGTGTCATGTGATACTCCTAAAACTCCATTACCATCCTCTCTGATAGTGAAATGTAAGACAAACAAAGGCATTACCAGCTTCTTTCCCTTCTGAAGCCATGGTTCAAACACTTGTTCATCCTAGAAGTGACGACGTTTGCCTGTTATGTAAGAGCAGTCACCAAGGAAGATTTTTATTTTAAGGGAAAGAAAGGAGGGAAAGAAGAAAGTAATGATAATCAAATCCCACAATGGCAGGATTCTAGGACAGGCACACTTATGTAGTAATGATATTTGTGGAAATTTGCCACCTCTTCTCTAAGCTGAGTCAGGGTGCAATTACCTTCACAGGTTTTAAGGATCTATAAGATTGAGCACTTGATACAGTTGTGGATCTCAGGGAAACAGCTTAACCACATAGCAGTTGCAGGATAATAAAAGAACCTACTTATGAAATTCATTTTATAATTATTTCCTATCAGATGGGTTTGGTGGTACACCTATAATCTCCATACTTGGAAGGATAATGAAGAACAATCATAAATTCGAGGTTAGCCTAGGCTACACAGTAACTTCCAAGCCAGCCTGAGCTACATATTCTCTCTTAAAAACAAAGCAAAGCTACACATTAACAAAAAGATTAAGTGTCTCAAAGTAATTAGAACCAACCAACAAAGATTAACATACAGGATGTTGCTATAATGTTTGTTTAAAGGAGTCTCATTAAATGACCTAATCCTCCTCTTGTGTTAAGTCCAGTGCTGCAGTAGAAAACTGAATTAGATACTCAGGACTCACAGACTGGACCAGCCAGCACTCCTCTGATTTAACAGACCACAGGATATGTGTGAAGAGAAACACAATCCCTGACTAAACACAAAGTCACAAAATAAGCCCATTCCCAGTGGCTCCTTTGCATTGTTTGTTATAAAGCATGATGTACATGAGTTAGAGAGCCATGTTTCTTAATACTCTTCAAGAACAAGACCTTGATGGATTCTACTACCTCAGACAGGTGCATGTCTGCAGTTCTCAGATCGTGCCTGGGTCCCTGAGCTAACTCAGAGAAAACTACTCCTCTGCCCCCATGACAGCATCCGTAATCTGAGCTCCGTAAATGCTCTTCTAGTTCCTCTTCAAGTTTTACTCTCACTTTCTTGTCCACTACATAGGTACTCAGTAAACACTGGCTGAATTCTGCCACAAGAATCCCCATCTCCTGTCATCTATTCTCTTTAGTGTTTGGCTTGTTGTTCAGATGTCATCATTTGGGGTTCATATTTTAGTTCCTTTTCTCACTTGTTCTACAGGGCTTCATCTTTTCCCTAAAGTGCATTCTCCTTCTTTTCCTGTACCCCCTTTCCCTCCTTCCCTTTCATTCTTTGTATCCCATAGGCTTTGTAGTAAGAATATCCAGCATTAGCTTCTGCAGCTCCCTCCTGTCATCTCTGGATACCTCTAACAGTGCTGCTCTCTCCTGAATGACATAGCCTTTGTAACCTTACTTAATTAAAGGCACTTGATTATTCACTACACTGCTTCTCTAGGTTAAATTTCCCTAATTCTCAACCTTATCAATCCATCCTATACTTGACTCTGCATCTATACCTATTAATAATTGAACAGTGGCTGTCATTGATATCTTTTAAAACTTTTAAAGAAACAGTCACAAAACAGTCACATTTTAACCAAAAAGGTTCCCATTCCCCATCTGGATATATAGCACAGAGGGCATGGTATAAGCTCATATTGAATGAGCTATGTCATTTTTTTTTATCCTCAACTACTTATTGGGAAGTGAGGTTATTTTGGTAGCCAGGTTCCTTCTGCTCTGGAATTTAAAAATAAAAAGTGAATTCAATTAAAGGTATACATTCACTCTACCCAGAGCCGTGCCAGATCATCCGAATATACCCTACATTCCAGCCAATCAGAAATTGCAATGTGCATATGCTAATTTAGGAAGTCAAATTACTTTAATTAAATAAGAGACTCATTGGCATTTATGCAAGACAGCAAAGATAGCTTTTAAAGCAGCATATCTTGCTTCCAAATTTCTTGCTCTTATATTTTATTATTATTATTTAAAGAATTCAAAAGGATGGAATGAACTTGGCAATGAAACATCTACTCCGTTTGTCTCCTTAAGGAAGGACACGATCAGGATGTGGGGCACAGAAGTTACTTACCTATATGTAGTCCCCATATTAAAGCTCAGGAAGCCTGGACTTATCATAGAGCTCTTTGCAAACCTTGACTTCTTGGTTTACTTAGAAAAATCTCTAATAGATGTGAATAAATTTCAAAGTCTTATTCAGATTTTGCTAAGACCTCTAAGGAACCATTTTCCTTAAAGACAAACTGCTTTTGAGACTAGGACTACCTCATTTGGTACAATCTTTATATAGAATGAACAAAGCCCTGAGTTTGATCCACATCATATTATAAACCAAGGATAGTGGTATATACAACAGGAGTTCAAGGCTAGCCTGTGCTACATAAGTCCATAGCTAAACAAAACAACCTAAAAATTTAATAGCATTCCTATTGCTGTGTTGATGAATTTTTGTTTTTGAGATAAGGCTTCATTTAGCCTTAGCTGACATTGAACTCACTTGCCAAGAACGACCTTGAGTTTCTGATGGTTTCTGAATGATGGGAGTTCAAGTATGTCTTACCATGCCCAGTTTGTGTAGTTCTAGGGATCAAACCCAGAGCTTTGTGCATGCCAGGCAAGCACACTACCGTCTGTGCTACAGCCGTGGTTCACTGTCAGTTTTTATAAATGTGTATTTAGTTCATTCAATGTCTGTGATTAAAAGACTCCATTGGTTGAGTTCATGCATTAATCCCAATGTTTTGTCATTTTGTACTCTTAACATTTGAAATCTGAGAAATGATTATATACATGAGATGATGACAGCTTTCTAGTAGCTATATCAACGATCTTGGCAGTGTTAACTACATGGTTCTGGCTTCACAGTGATGAAATATATAAGAGGAAAGGG